CCTACCCTATTCCCATCTTGGTGACTGCGCTGGAGGACACAGAATTCTTAAATGATATTACCATTTTTCATTTCTCATTTTCTCATAATTTTCCATTTCTCATAATTACTCAATGAACAAAATGGCAACTGTAATTATTGTCCTAGAGAACGTTAAGTAGAACAAACTGCTGTTTATTATAAAAGCAATATATGGTGATACATGAATAGACATTAATGAATAAGGATACAGTAAATGTATCAGGAATTGATTATTATCTTGCATTTTCTAGACATGAGCCAAAATGATATTGTCCTTTCTATCTTTGTCTCCTTATGCTAGTTCTGACACTAGGTTGCTGTTCTTTCCAGATTATGATCTGTCCCTAAAAGAAGATACATGATCAGAGGTCTGTGACCAGAGCCAAAAAATATTACTGCGTTATATTTTGGGTGCTGCTCGAGGCAAAGATGCCCTTTCTAGCCAGCAATACTGGGAACCTTGAGCAAGTGACTATTGCAAAGGACTGAATTTTCCCAAATCAAACAGAAGTGGACTTTTTGGCTAATTCTCTCTGCTTCTCTGATGCTGTGGCTGGGAGACTGAAAAAAAAAGAGAGAAAGATTCCAGCCAACAAAAAGGGAGTTATGCTTTAGAAGGGATTGGATTAAGCAGTACTTGGGCTATACAGTCTATTTCCTTAAAGATTAATGTTCCTATTTTTACTATATCTATATCTACATCCACATATACATGTATGTATATATATATATATATATATATAATATATGTGTATGTATGTATGCATGCATGCATGTGTTTACTAATCCGATTAAACTACACGTTTGAAATCATGAGTTTGAATGGAGGTAGACATGTGAAGGAATAAAAAGGGAAGGAGAATGCCCAAATAAGGATGAAGCAAGAGATCAAGTCATACTTCTAGAGAAGAGAACCCAGTACAAAATAGTGAAATAATCATGGGAGCATAGTGTTGGATGATTGATTGCCAGCTGTATGTCTTAGAATCCTTACAACTGATAGGATAATAAAGGCTACCTTTGCTTACCTAACATCTGAGTATCTATAACTTTTTTACTGTCATGTAATCATGTTTGGGATCAACATCCCTCTAATTCACTAACAGGTTGGAGGCTTATTTGTTACTCTCAACCTGGGTTAGCCTGTCAATTGATCAATAAGCATTGATTAAGCATATACTATGTGCCAGATACAATGTTAAGTCCTGGGGATACAAAGAAAAAGCAAAAAAAAAAAAAGATTTCCTACTCTTAAGAAATTTACATTAGAATGGGGGAAGACAACATGTACATAGATTGGAATACAAAGGTACACACAGAGTTCATGGAAGTTAATAAGGAAGGCACTAGCAGCTATGCAGACCCACAAAAGAGGTGGTACTTGAGTTTTTTTCTTCTCTTTTTTCATTATTTAATATTTTATTTCCCCCAATTACATATAAAAACAATTTTACCATTCTTTTTTTTTTTTCAAATTTTGAGTTCCAAATTCTCTGCCTACCCCCCCCCATTGAGAAGGCAAGCAATTTGACATAGGTTATACATGTGTAGTCATGTGAAACACATTTCCATGTAAGTCATTCTGTGAAAGAAAAAGCAGACAAAAAATCCGAGAAAAATGAAGTAAAGAAAAAGTATCTTTGATCTGCATTCAGGTTCTATCAGTTCTTTCTCTGGAAATGGACAGTACCTTTCATCATAAATCTTAAGGAATTGTCTTGAATGAATATATTATTGAGAACAGTTGTTCATAGAAATTTATCATACAATATTGTAGTTACTACATATGATGTTCTCCTGGTTCTGCTCACTTTACTTTACATGTTCATATAATTCTTTCCATGTTTTTCTAAGAGCTACCTGTTCATCATTTCTATCCATGTATTTATTTATTTATTTTCATTTATTTATTTATTTGTTTGTTTATTTATTTATTCAGCCATCCATCCATTTGTTTGTTTGTTTGTTTGTTTGTTTTTGGGCTAGGCAATGGGGTTAAGCAACTTGCCCAGGGTCACACAGCTAGTAAGTGTTACGCATCTGAGGCTGGATTTGAACTCAGGTCCTCCTGAATTCAGAGCTGGTGCTCCATCCACTTCTCCACCTAGCTGCCCCTGCTCATCATTTCTTAAAGAACAACAGTATTCCATCACAATTATATACCACAACTTGCTAAGTCATTCCCCAATTGATAGACAATCCCTCAATTTCCAATTCCTTGCCACCACAAAAAGAGCTGCTATAAATATTTTTGTATACTTGGGTCCTTTTCTCATTTGTATGATCTTTTTGGGATACAGACCTAGAAATGGTATTGCTGGGTCAAAGGGTATGCACATTTTTGTAGAACTTTAGACGTAGTTCCAAATTGCTCTTCAGAATGGTTGAAGCAGTATACAACTTCACCAATAGTACATTAGTGTTTTAATTTTCCCACAACCCCTCCTTTTCTGTCATTTTCCTTTTCTGTCATATTAGCCAATCTGATGGATATGATATGAGGGAGTAGCTCAGAGTTGTTACAATTTACATTTCTCTCATCAATACTGTTTTAGTACATTTTTTCATGTGACTATAGATAGCTTCAATTTCTTCATCTGAAAATTGCCTGTTCATATCCTTTGAATTTGTCAGTTGAGGAATGGCTCTTATTTGGAATGGCTCTCATATATTTGACTCAGTTTTCTATATCATATATTTGAGAAATAAAGTCTTTATCAGAGAAACCTACTGTAAAATTTTTTTTACAGTAATGATTACCAACTATGTATTTCCCTCCACCCTATTTTCCCCTGTTTATCCTACTCTCTCCTTTTACTCTGTGATTCTCAAAAGTGTTTTGCTTCTGATTTTTACCTCCCTCAAACTGTCCTCCCTTTTATCAGCTCCTCCATTCTTTCATCCCCATTTCTTCCTGCTTTCCTGTATAAGATACATTTCTACACTATATATGTATTTTATTATATCATACCATATTATATTATATAAATTTCCCTCTTTGAGCCAATTCCGATGGCAGTAAGGTTCATATGCTCCACTCCCTGCTTCCCCCATTTCTCCTTGTGCTGTAAAATCTCTTTCAGGATTCTTTTATGTCAGATAATTTATCCCACTCTGCCTCTTCCTTTCCCCATCTCTCAGTACATTCTTCTTTGTCATCCCTTAATTTAATTTTTTTAATCATACCATCATATTCAACTCACACCTTTGCTTTCTTTCTATGTATTCTCCTTCTAACTGCCCTAATAATGAGAAAGTTTTTAGGAGTTATACATGTCATTTTCCCATGGAGGAATATGAACAGTTTAACCTTATTAATCCTTTATGATTTCTCTTTCATGTTTAGCTTTTTATGATTCTTTTGCTTCTTATATTTGAAAATCAAATTTTCTATTCAGCTCTAGTCTTTTCATTGGAAATGCTTGAAAATCCTTAATTTCATTTAATGTTTATTTTTTTCTCCTGAAGGATTATACCCAGTTTTGCTGGGTAGGTGATTCTTGGTTGTAATCCTAGCCCCTTTGCCCTCTGGAATATCATATCCCAAATCTTCTAATCCTTTAATGTAGAAACTGCTAAACCTTGTGTTATCCTCAGTGTGGCTCCATGATATTTGAATTATTTCTTTTTGGCTTGCAGTGTTTTCTCCTTCATCTAAGAGATCTGGAATTTGACTATAATATTCCTGGCAGTTTTCATTTTTGGATCTCTTTAAGGAGGTGATTAGTGGATTCTTTCAATTTCTATTTTACCCTCTGTTTCTAGAATATCAGGGCAGTTTTCCTTGATGATTTTCTTGAAAGATGATGTCTAGGTTCTTTTTTTCATCATGACTTTTAGGTAGTCTAATAATTCTTAAATTATTTCTCCTTCATCTATTTTTAGGTCAGTTGTTTTTCCAATGAGATATTACACATTTTATTCCATTTTTTTAAATTTTTAAAATTTTGTTTGATTGTTTTTTGATGTTTCATAAAGTCATTAGCTTCCACTTGCCCAGTTCTAACTTTTAAGGAATTATTTTCTTCAGTGAGCTTCTGTACCTCTTCCATTTAGCCAATTTTACTTTTTAAGTTTTTCTCTTCAGTGAATTTTTGTATGTCTTTTTTCATCTTGCCAATTCTGCTTTTCAAAGCATTCTTCTCTTTATTGGATTTTTTGTGCCTCTTTTTTACCATTTGGCCTATTCTGTTTTTTAAGTTGTTTTTTTTTTCAGTATTTTTGTGCCTCGTTTACCAAGTTGTTGACTCTTCTTTCATGATTTTCTTGATTCACTCTCATTTCTCTTCCCAATCTTTCCTCTACCTCTCTTACTTGATTTTTAAAATCCTTTTTGATCTCTTCCATGGCCTGAGACCAATTCACATTTTTCTCTGAGATTTTGGATGCGGGCATTTTGACTTTGTTGTCTCCTTTTGAGTTTGTGTTTTGATTTTCTTTGTCACCATAGCAACTTTCTACAGTCTGAATTTTTCAGTTATTTGCTCATTTTCCAGCCTATTTCTTGACTTTTAACTCTACGCTAAAGTAGGGCTCGGCTTCCCAAATGGAGGGGGCATTATTCCAAGCTTCTGGTTTTTTGTGCAGCTGTTTTTAGATGTAATTCTGAGGACCTGTAAGTTTTTGGCTCTTCTTTGGTATGATCTAGGAAGAAGTGTGTTTGCTATTCTCCTATATTGTGCACTGATTTTTGAGTGGTCACAAGCACTCCTTTCAACCCTGGAACTGTGACCAGGGTCCCTGTTCCCCTGTGACCACAAGCTCTGCTATTCTAATGCTTCTCCTCACACTGAGTCAGAGTGAAGAAAGAAAACGGTGGGAGAAATCAGGGTTGGGTTTGGCAAGATATTATCAGTGATAGGACAAATAAAGAGGGAAGTTGGAATACAGTATAGAGTTGAACTAAGGAAGAGTAAGGCATAAGGAATGATAGAAAAATAAGATTATGATGTAATAAGGGAATGTTAGATTTCTTGAAAATGGAAGTAGAACACTTGTGGGTGATAGTATGATCAAGTGAAGACCTTTCCCATGAATAGGTGAGATGGAGTGATGAACTATATCATTGGAATTGAATAATAGATTAAATAACTGGGAAGTTAGGGCATTTGAGAGAGCATCAATATCTAGGTTGAAATTCCCTAATTTGTCAACTGAGGGATGGAGTGATTAGAGGTAGTTATGAGGTCCAATAGTAGATCTTAGAAGAAGAAGGCATAGGGGAAAGTTAGAAAATAAAAGATTTTGATGGGATAAAGGGATTTTGGAGTTCTTGGTATTTATACTATAGGTGACAGTATGATCAAGGGATGATCATCCTTGTGTGTGGGTGAGATGGAGTGAAGAACTTGGTCTTGAGAGTTGAATAATAGATTAAATAACTGGTAGGTTAAGTATTTGAGAGAATATCTACATATATGTTGAAGAGCCCTAGTATGATGATAGGACAAAATATTGACCTCATTGAGAAAATAGGTAGAATGTTTTGGAAGTTGTTAAGTAACAGCCATTAGAATCTGGATTGTGTCACAAATTCAGATTGTGTGAATATCAAAGAATGAGAAGTTTCTCAGTGATGGTGTTAGAGAGAGTCTGGATATCTAGGAGTATTCTGATTCCTTCACCATGATCACAAAATTGTGGGGTGAGAGTAAAAGTTCAGCTTGTATTGGAAAGGGCAGTCAGGGTCATCAGGAGAAATCCAGCTCTCAGTGGATGCCATAGGATAGAAAGTGATTTAAGATAAAATAAAGTTTGCTCATTGTGAAGCAGAAGACCAAGAAGTGGAAAGCTTGAGCATATCTGCAGTTGGGCTTTTGATATTGAGGTAGATGACAATGAGATAACTGGCTGATGGGGTTGAGGAAGGAAAGCTTATTCTGTTGCCACTGGAGGGGATGTGTCAGTATCACTGGCATGGAGAGATTAAGAACAGTTGAAAGTTGCTAACTATTGGAAAATGAGTTCAGAAAGAGTAGTGAAGTCTGATGGTAAAATCAGGTAGTTAGAAAGTTCAAGGCCCTACCTTGAGGTTTTAATGCAATTCTCAAGTATCCGACTTGTCATATTTCTGTGTCCTAGGAAGCATGTGGAAGCCTACATGGCAGGTGTGATGAGCAAAAATTTGTGTTCTCAGTCTGGAAGATACGATGTACTAGGGCCCTTCTTGGGACTAATTTAGTGGTGTAGGCCTTAGGGCATCTAGAAGCCTAGAAAGGAGGCAGATGATGATACATCTCAACCTGACTGAAGGCTCAAGCAGGGGATAATTGTATTATAGCCTTTGGGTGTTAGAAAACCTACCCTTGCTCTTCAAAACATTTGTACTTAATTGGAAAAACATCAGTTGCTCATGGGTAGGCTGAGCTAATACAATAAAAATGACAATCCTACCTAAGCTAATTTACTTATTCAGTGCCATACCAATCAAACTACCAAAAAATTATTTTATAGAGTTAGAAAAAAATAATAACAAGATTCATTTGGAAAAACAAAAGGTCCAGAATATCAAAGGAACTAATGAAAAGAAATGCAGGGGAAGGTGGCCTAGCAATTCCAGATCTTAGATTGTATTATAAAGCAACAGTCCTCAAAACTGCTTGGTACTGGCTAAGAAATAGGGAGGTGGATCAGTGTGAATAGGTTAAATATGCAAGACACAGTAGTCAATGACTATAGTAATCTATTATTTGATAAATGCAAAGACCCCAGCTTCTGGGATAAGAACCCACTCTTTGAAAAAAACTGCTGGGAAAACTGGAAAAGAGTATGGCAGAAACTAGGCATAGACCCAAATCTCACACCATATACCAAAATAAAGTCAAAATGGGTTCAGGACTTAGATATAAAGGCTGATACCATAAGTAAAGTGGGAGAACAAGGAATAGTTTACCTATCAGATCTATGGAGAACAGAAGAATTCGTGACCAAACAGGAGATAGAAAACATTATGAAAAGCAAAATGGATAATTTTGATTACATTAAATTGAAAAGTTTTTGCACAAACAAAGCCAATGCAACTAAGATTAGAAGGAAGGTAGAAAATTGGGAAAGAATTTTTACAACCAGTCTTTCTGATAAAGGCCTCATTTCTAAAATATATAGTGAATTAAGACAAATTTATAAGAACACAAGCCATTCCCCAATTGATAAATGGTCAAAGGATATGAACAGGCAGTTCTCAGATGAAGAAATTAAAGCCATCTATAGTCATATGAAAAAATGCTCTAAATCATTATTGATTAGAGAAATGCAAATCAAAACAACTCTGAGGTACCACATCACACCTATCAGATTGGCCAACATGACAAAACAGGAAAATGATAAATGTTGCAGAGGATGTGGGAAAATTGGAATGCTAATACATTGTTGGTGGAGTTGTGAAATGATCCGACCATTTTGGAGAACTATTTGGAACTATGCCCAAAGGGCTACAAAAATGTGCACACACACCCTTTGATCCAGCAATAGCACTTCTAGGGCTATATCCCAAAGAGATCAAACAAATGGGAAAAGGACCCACATGTACAAAAATATTCATAGCAGCTCTTTTTGTGGTGGCAAAGAATTGGAAATTGAGAGGATGCCCATCAATTGGGGAATGGCTGAGCAAGTTGTGGTATATGAATGTAATGGAATACTGCTGTGCTATAAGAAATGATGAACAGGCTGACTTCAGAAAAATCTGGGAAGACTTATATGGTCTGATGCGGAGTGAAGTGAGCAGAACCCAGAGGACTTTGTACACAATACCAGCCGTGTTATGCAATGACTAAGAATGTTAAACTGAACCCTTCTCAGCATTACAAGGATCTAAGACATCTCCAGAGGCCTTGGGATGGAAAATGCTGTCCACATCCAAAGAAAGAACTATGGAAGTCGAATCGCTCTCATTTATTTTTACCTGAAGTTGAATTTTGTTTCATCTTTCTGATGATTCCTCCTATTGGTTTTAATTTTTACTTACAACTTCAGTAATGTGAAAATATGTTTAATGGGTATGTAAATGTAAAGCCTATGTCAGATTGTGCGCCATCTTGGGGAGGGTGGGGGGGGAGGAAAAGGGAGAAAAAATTTTCAACTCAAAAGTATATGGAAAAAAAAAAAAACCAAACAAAAAAAACCATTTGTACTTACCAAGAGTCCCATCAGCAATGTAGGAGAGTGCCTATTTCCCCTAAGTCCCACCAACCTTGAATTTTTATTACTTTTTAATGCTATTTTTAAAATTAATTTAATCATTATAAACTAGTAGTACATGATTATTTTGATTTACCTTTCTCTGGTAACTAAGAAATTTGAAAAAGTTTCCACATGTCTATAAGCAATCTTATTCACTTCCATATGCTTTAATTATTTTTGCTATACAAATGACCACCAGATCTATATATCCAATCTAAATACTTCTGCTGAACTCCAATACAGCATTTTCCACTGGGGAATATATCTTATTCTTAAATACATGCTGGCTAATAGAGATTTTGCATATCAGATCTTTTTCTGGTATATTCTTCCAGACAATTTTTTTCTTGTTCTTTTAGATATTGTTTTTGTAGTGCAAAATTCTTTTGTCTTTGCTTAATCAGTCATTTAGCATCTAATAATTTCCAATTATTTGATAAAATTTGATAACATTTTCCTCCTCTGCACAAATGAGAAAAATTTATTATTCCTTTTTCTTCCAGTTTTTGGACCTTAAAATCATTTAGTGAATTGCTTCATGATGACTTTATTATACTGTATCAAGTTAAGCATGGATTTAACTAATGATCCCCCATAACACTGGCCAGTTTTCCCAGCAATTTTTTTTTACTGAATAATGATTTCATTCTCCAGTGTTTTTTTAAGTAATGAATTTGTTGAATACCACTTTCATAAACATTGAGGTTTATTTCTTCTGTTCCATTTACATCTCTCTGTCCCTGTCTGTCTTTCTCTATCTGGTTCTTAACCAATATTTCCAATGAGTTAAAATATTATAACTGTCGTGGACCATTGGATGTCTTATCATAACACAACTCTTCTGTGTTGACTATGTTTGGAGAGTGAATGAGAGAGGAACACCCAAACAGTTTCTTTGTGGCAAGCCAAGGTGGTTTAAAAGGAGCACTGGTCTAACCCACACTTCAAAATGCCCTGAAATAAAGATTCCAACAACAACCACAGGAGCCAGACCAGCCTGGTGGGCAGGAGGCGGGAATGTGATGACTCTTTTTCACAAAAGACTTGTCCCACTGTGATTCTTGGGAACATAGCTGTAGCATAATGGCAAGTAATGAAAATTGGGTTACACATCACAGAACGTCTCCCTTGTGGTTGGTGCAGTGTGGTAGGTATAGAGACTGATCTTAACCACACCTGTATACCAGGATAGGAGCAACCATCAGAAGTGGCTTCTCTAAATACTAATATGAATGTAACACATACACATGCAATTTGCTTATTAATATCGTCTTTAGTTAAAGGGAGACTGGCTTTAAGAGGATCTTACAAAACCTCAGGCAAGCATTCTCACACTATCCTTAAGCTTCAATGTTATATTTCTAAAGGGTTCCCTAAATACCCTCAAAATACCAAAAATTCTGTGTAACATTAGCCACATACATCAGCCAAATTGCAGTGTGTAGCATGTGCTCCCTTGTTACTAATGTTGTTAATATAATCAGGAGGCAACTATTTGATGGAAACCAAACTCTCGGCGTGCTTATTAGAAGGTTCTCATCTTGTTATTCCTAACTAGGGAGCCCCAGTGGAGCATTGTAACTCCCTACCCTGGATAACAAAGCTAGACTTGTCAAAAGCTGATCAATACAGACACTGGCAGCATCAGACAATAGACTTGTGCTAATTAATATTTAATAGGCCCATGGATTTTTCCTTAGCAGCTGGGGTGCTAAATAATAGTCAATTAGCAAACGTGTTAATTAACTCTAATTACACAGCACACAGCGACTTCTCCAAGGACTTTTACTTCAGATCTGCATGTAAATGTTCCCCCACTCATCTTAATCACACCAGGCAGCTAATTAATTGGTAAGTAATTTTTCTTTTCATTCCCCCAAAACATGTATTTTAAAAATCAGAGCCAAGAATCATTTTTACTCTTAGATGTTATTTTTAAAAGCCACTAAGAAGAAAACCAGGTTTTATTCATGTAGTATTCTTTCAAACACTGTGCCAAACTTCTTCCTCCCCATCCCCTAATTTCTATGAGAGAGGAGGGGGGAGGGAAAAGAGAAAGAGACAGACAGAGACCAGATGGGAAGACACACATACACACACACACACACACACACACATACACACACACACACACACACACACACAGATAGACAGACAACGAGAGAGAGACAGAAAGAGACAGAGACAGACAGAGACAGAGAGAAACAGAGAGAGAGACAGAGACATACATGGAGGGAGGGAAAGACAGAGACAGATGCAGAGACATGGGAGGGAGAGAGAGAGAGAGAGAGAGAGAGACAGACAGACAGACACGCACTCACAGAGAGAGAGAGAGAGAGAGAGAGAGAGAGAGAGAGAGAGAGAGAGAGAGAGAAAATGAGAATGAATTTGCCTTCTAATACGTAGAATTACGAGCCTCCAGGAGAAAGGCTAAACAATAAATGCCATGCAATTAAGAACAATCTTCTCTGGTTGGTGTGGCAGTTAAAGGAGCTGCTTCTAAGCAGTTGTGTGCTGTCTGCTTGCTGGGGAGAGGGAAGGAATTGGAGGAAGGAAATCAGCAGAGCAGCCTCACGCAGGGTTGGGCGCCTGGTGTTAGATCAAAGGCTGTGCAGTGGTAGAAGTCTGCTCCAGGGAAGCCAATAGCCTTGTCACTATTCCACTGTCTGAAGATGCTGTTCAAGGCATTTGGAGAGAAGAGCTCAGATGGTAACTCTGGAGAGGAAGGAGGTGACTTTTTCAATTATGGTGATGCTCACAGAATTGAGTTCAAGTACATTATTCATTTGAAAGGTTTTCTATTGTAAGACTAAAGTTAACTCTCACCTGGCTGCTGTTAGTACCTGTAGCTATTTACAAGTAATATTCCAGAAAAAAGCTGTTCAGGGGCTTTAAAAGTTATAAATATATATTTGCATCCCCACCCCAAACTGTTCTTTTATACTCATTTGATTGCATGAACAAGACCTGAAATAGCCTCCTAATGTGGGCATTGTTTAGTCTGTGGCAAAACATCTCTAGGGCTATTAGTCTCTTCAGGAGCACGTAAAAGAAGCAAGAACAGCAATACGGTGTTTTTCACAGCACACAGTAAGAAATGAAGATACTTCTTCACCTGATTATCATTTGAATTTATTGAAATCCTGTAGTATAGCAATTATATCCACTCAGTCCTTTGTTTAGAATTGAGGTTCTTAACTGGAAGCCTGTGAAATTTTTTTTAAATTATTTTTTGTAACTGTATTTCAATATAACATAATCCTATGTGTTTTATGCATTTAAAAACACTACTTTGCAACATCCACAGCTTTATCAGACTGCCGAAAGGGTCTATGGTACACAAAAGGTTTTTTTTTAATTCTTACATTTTATTTTTCCTCCAATTACATGCTAAAACAATCTTTTAATATTTAAAAATAATTTGAGTTCCAAATTTTATCCCTTCTTTCTTTCCTCCCTCCTTTCCCTCCTCCCTTCCTGAGATGATAAGCAGTCTGACACAGGTTATACACATGCAATCTTTGTTTGTTTTTTTTTTTTTGCTAGGCAATGGGGTTAAGTGACTTGCCCAGGGTCACACAGGTAGTAAGTGTTATGTGTCTTAGGCTAGATTTGAACTGAGGTCCTCCTGAATCCAGGGCTGGTGCTCTATCCACTGCGCCACCTAGCTGCCCCTATGTACACATACAATCTTGTAAAACATTCCCGTATTAGTAATTTTGTACAAAAAGACTTAAAAGAAAGAAAGAAAAGGAAAAAAAAACCCACCATGCTTCAGTCTGTATTCAGACCATATCAGTCCTTTCTCTGGAGGTGAATAACATGCTTCATCATGAGTCCTTAAGGATACACAAAAAGTTTAAAACCTATTGATTTAGAGATATCATAGTCTAGAATGGAAATTAGGAGTTTTAGTTTCTTTCTCCAATTTTCCTTTATTATATAGAATATTGAGAGGCTTCTAAGAGTAACAGACTGAGAACTGCCCTCAGAGTTAGAAGGACCTGGGTTGAAGCCCTACCTCCATCCTATATGAGTGACTATATGAGTCTGAGCAAATCACTTAACCTTTGGGTGCACTGTGCAAACTCTCTAAGACCCCAAGTTTTAGAGAAGGTATCACATGTATCAGTAGAGTTTCATCATCTGGGACATTCTCTTCATCAATTACATCTCATGTCTACTTTCTATTTGTTTATGGATTCATTGTGCTAGAAATAGTGACATCAACATAGAATGGACTTGGGATAGAAACTCCATGTATCAAGATCATAACTTTGTAGATAAATTTTAGAGTTGTGGAAACCCAGAGATTAAGTGATTTGCCCAAGGTCGTATAGCTAATTAATCTCAGAGACAGAATTTGAACCCAAGTCCTCTGACTACAGACATATATTGAAATGCTACACTTCTGACTACCAGCATTCCAGAGAATTCTACCTGTTGGAAGCAGTGACAGAACTATAAATTTTGGCCTCCATGGAAAATATAGGAAAGGATTACCTAACCCTTTGTTAAAAGAAAAAACTCATTCTTTCTTGAAATGCAGAGCTGCTTGGAAACCATTATACCAATGGAAAGAGAAAAAAAAAAGAGGCAAATGACAAGGGCTGACTCCCTTGCTTTGACTGTCACTGGCTTTCTGTTTCTTTGGAGGATATTCTCCATGAAAACCAGACCTATGTTTATATGTCAGACCCTTTATTTTCCATCTTTGTAAGTGTGGGAGGACAATTAGGGCAGACTCAAATATCATCCAAAAAATGAACCCAAGAGAGTAAATGACTCTTCAGGAAATAATTGAATTTGATTCTCATTTTGGATCTTGGAAATAAAGGGTTGGGGGCTATAAGGGGGATTATAGACTATTCTTCTAGGTGGAAGGGGAGGGGGAAAGCAGAATAAGCCCTATCTCTAAAAGTCTTATAGTCAAATTGATCCCCTTCAAGGGATAATGAGCTTTATATAAGGGAAATGTCATATAGTTTTGTGCAGAAATTATGCTGTACTACAAAATTATGAAATGCCCAGTATTCTCATGATACTCCCATAGGTTCTGGTGGCCCTTTCCTTCCCTTGTGAGAGTACCCTGTGTTCTCAGTCTTTGCTAATTTCCTTCTCTACTATTGAAACCCTTTTGCTGATTCCCTTTGTTCATATCATCTTACTTTTAAAAATTCTTTTTCTATTTATTGGCATTAAGTTAATACATCCCATCCCATCCCTTAGATAACATATTTTCACATTAACTAGAGATCTTTGAAGTGATACCTTAATCCAAATGAATGATTTTAATGAGAGGAATTTAATATATTCTAGCAGGCTGGAAGGAGAGACATTTTATGAATGTCTATTCTGCTTACATAGAGGACTGCACTGTGAAGGGCTACAAAAGGATTAGAAAACCTAGTACCTACCCTTCCCTTAAGAAGCTTAAAACCTGGTTTGAGAGACAAAAAATATGAAAGTGAGTCAAAAACAAATACACAAAACTTATCAACATGAGCAACTCAATCGAGATCAAAATGATTTAATGTATCTTATATCTGTACGGCACATAAAACTTTCAAAGTGTTTTCAGGTCTGTGGTTTTATTTTACCCTCTTAACTCTTTAAGTAGGTTCAACATGAGTTATTATCCTCACTTAACAGATGAGGAAGATGAATCAGAGATTCTCAGACTTGGAAGGAACCTCAGAGTCCATCCAGTATCCAGGGTGATAGATGATTAATCAGACACCTATTTTATTCCAATCAGTATTAATCAGTTTGATATGATTCCAAAGGGTTAGTGATTATAAGTTCTATGTATTAGATCCTAGAGCTATGAACTGCAGATTGTAAGTTCACTTGCTTAATCACAGGAAGCTAGCTTGGTGACCAAGCCCAGAATGGTGGAAGTGACTCAATGACATGGAAACATGGTAAGTCCCTGAAGTATTGCCCAACATCCTTCTATCACCCAACATGGGGAGATAACCATGAGCACTTGACCAACAAGTGACCCTGTTTGCCAGCCTCTGGCCTGCCTGTCTACCAGCCCACTGGCCCATGTAGATGTTTTGATATCGCTTTTTCAGCCCAGACCAGGTGTCTTCTCCTGAAAGGTCAAGATATCTCTGTCAAAGTCTGTTCATCAGCTCATTTGTCAAACAATGGGATTCTGTTTTTTGTGTAGACCCTCTTGGAGGATCAAGGTCAAGACCTGTCAGACAATAAGGCTATTTATTTTACTGTGCCTCTTCTGTATCATCTGGGTATCAAGCACTATAAAACTAAGGCCCTGGAGAAAGGGGCAACTCAGATTGCAAGGAAGATCTGACATCCACTTCATTAGAGGGGGCCATGAGCGCTTTAATAAAGTGCTATTAGCTCGGAGATCTGCCTCAATTTCTTTTCTTTTAGGTTGGGTGATTTTGGATCTCATACCAGTTCAAACCACACCTGAATAAGAATTGTAGCATGCCTGATAAGTGGTCATTTTTGTTTGAAGACTTCTAGTGAGGGAGAACACACTGCCTCCTGAGGCAGCCCATTCTACTTTTGAATAGCTCTCATTGTTGAGAAGTTTTTCTTTACATCAAGCTGAAATCTGCCACTTTTCACACCCTCCCCACAATGCTGTTAGCTTTGATCTATAGGGCTGGGCAGATCTCAAGAAAAATTCCATCTCCATAGGTCAGTCCTTCAATTATTTGAAAATAAGTGACATGTACCCCTTAAGTTTTGTCTAAGTTTGTTCCTAATTCCTTCAATTGGTTTTCAAAGAGGTATGAGCTCCAGGACCTTGATAATTCTGGTCATCATCCTCTGATATGCTTTGTCTTGGAAAGTTCCTTCTCAAAATATGCTCTTCCCAATCCCTTCACTCTAATATTTTTTCAGAAGAGCTATATTTAACCATTCTGCACACATTCTCTACTTGAAAAGTTCATTTTAAAAATGTATTTTATATCTAGTTTTTAATTGGACTGATTCTTAATATGTCTCATCTTCCTTCTCTGCCTAGATAACCTCCCTGATAACAAAGGATAAAAAAACAGAAAACAAAAAACAAATGAACAGAACTAACTGACACACTGAAAATGTCTGACACTGCAGTACTTCACACCAGTTGCTTTCTATCTCTGCAAAATAAGGGAGAGGTGTTGAAGTTGATTTTTTTTTTGTATATAAATGCAAGGCTTTAAATTTAGCATTATGATTTGGCCCAAATGCTATAGCACTTCAAGATCTTCTTTAAAAAATAATAACTTGAGATCCTTTTAGATCCTGAATATCATTCAAAGTATTGGAGATACTTCCTAGTTTGGCACCCTTTGCAAATTTGGTAAGCATGTCATCTGTGCCTTTTACCCGAGTCATTCATAAAAAAATGCTCAACCAGGGACTAGGATAGATTCCTGGGACCTTTCTTCTATGTTGACATCGGATTACTCATTGAATCCTACCACCTGACTTCAATATGAATACAATGTATACTTAATATAGATAATAAAGTGTATCACCTACTAAAAAGTGTGTTGTCAAGAATAAAGGAGATAAAACTATAAAGCCTCTAAGAACTTTGGAAAAATATATATAAATGGCAAGTATCATTAGTGTCAGAATGGAGTGACTCATTCAGATTGCAGATCCCAAAACATGTGTCATGATTCAATCAGTTTAGAGGTTGCCAATAACTTCCTACCAGTATAAGGGGTAGACAAGGACCATCCAGAAACTGTAAATGAGTAACTAGAGTTGATCCTCTTTGTAATTAGAGTTTGGATTCTTCTTTCTAACATGTTTTATCCTCTCTACCCTTTGCCCTACTGGAATGCTGTCCGGGAATCAAATAAGTGGTTGAGATAATAAAATTTCCAGTTATATACTTTTAAAAAAAACTTAGTTCTCCTTATCTTACCCAGGCTGGAAATGCAATAGCTCAGTTGGCCTAATCCCAATACTGATTGGCATGGAAGTTTTGACCTGTTCCATGTGTAGTCTGGGATAGTTCACTTTTCCTTGAGTAGTGTGTTGGCTTTTCACTAATGGGAGCTCACCATATCAATTCCAAATTTGGTACAGACACCCAATGAGGTTAGCCCTACTACATATCTCAGAACTCCGGAGCTCAAATGTTATACTCTGCCTAAAAGGAAAACAAGGGAGGCTACCTTCAGGGTTGTGATTTAGTGGTAGGAAAATGCACATATATTTATAGAACACGAATTCAGGATGAATAGTAGAGAAGTGGAGAAGATAATTTATTCAATGAAGTCAGTACCAAAAATAATTAAATGAATTGATAGTCTCTGGTTTTTCTATAAGGAGGGGACAGCCTTAGATTTCCCAAAGGAAGGCCTTAAACCTATGAATAAAATTAGAATGGTGGGACAATAGGCGATCAAGCAATTAGCATACGTAAGTGTGGAGAAATCATGCACCCAAAGGAGGGGACTGTACAGTTTCTTCCTTTAATTCCTTAGATGGCATATTTCAATAATACTGATATGTGCTTTCACAACACTATCAACACTATGCCTGTAAGAACTCCTGCTGGATTAAATTATTGAGAGATGCATCCTGTTAAGAATTTAGAACTAACTGGGGCAGAAATCATTGGAGAATTCTTTTAGAGAAGACATTATTTTCAAATATTCATTGGGGAGTGAAGTGCGGAAGAACAAATATACTTTTCAATAATTCTGTACCTATCTACCAGGCATTGGAAGAATTTGATTTAAAATTTATGCATTAGGATAACTGAAGTTGCTAAGAAATCCTTTTATACAAATCAATGATAGTATCTGGAAAAATTATTCTTTAAAAATCCTGGGGCTTTGGGGGGGGTGTAAAATGCATCATCACCACCACCATTATTATTATTTTTACTAAAGTTGTTACTGTTTTATCTTATCATTAATAATAATTATTATCATCCTTAACAAAGTCCTACTCAGTGCCTTATTGTGTAATGGAGGTTACTCTGGATTTTCCAGGGCAAAGCTAAATAAAATGAAAGATCTGACAGGTTGTTCTTTCATGCTAGAAATGCCTTATGAACAGTCCTAGAAACAGACCATGACTGTTTTCCATAGACACACATAGTTAAATATGGAGAAACTCATTACCAGTTGTCTGGAACCTTGGAGACTAATTCTTTGACCATTGTGACCCATAAAACAAAGAAAAATATACATGGTCTATAGTCCTATATGGCTCTGTATTCTTCCATACTGATGATGAAAAAGCAGTGGGCAAAAAAAGACACAATGTGCTAGGAAGTAGAATTTTTAGACCATCTCTAAACATTAATTAAACTGCTTAGTCAATGACCAGCAAATGGACATATTTATTACTGGAAAATTAGGATTATATCAATTTTTTCATTCTCACTATAAATGAAAGCAGAAAAAAACAAGGAAGTTACAGTTAATGGATGGATGGTACACAGTTTCTCCTGTGGGAGCCAAAATAAAGGGTTAGGGGAGTTGAATTTAATATTGTCCAAAGGCAACAAGAAATGCAATTTCATGGGATATGCTCATCTTGTATTGCTGTGCTTATGCAAGAAGATCACAATTTGATTCAATTCAACAGACATTTAATAGCAGCCAATGCATCAACATCTGTTGCAAAGTATGAGGTATAGACAACTTTAAAAGAATGAAGTCAGAGCCTCTAAATTAAATCAACCTATGACTCAATACTTGGTGATTTCAATGGAAAGGTGAACATGAAGAAACATAGTCAAAAATATGTGAAGAAACTTGGCATAGGACCAAAAAACAAGAGAGGCCAGACACTGGCTATGAAATTCATGGAAGTCTCATACCTACATATCATGAATACATTCTTCAAACAAAAAGTTGAGTTATGCTAGTCATCGTGAACACCAAAAACTTTCACACAAAAATAAAGCTGATTATATTTCAAGAGACAGTTAATGACTATGTACAGATGTGGGAGTTATTTCTGAATCAGCTGTCTGAGTAGAGTGAAACCACTGACTTTTCAGAGCAAAGATCACAATTGAAATCAATACCAAATCAGAAGAAAGAATAACAATGAGAACAAGATATGGAGCTTAATTCAAGTAACTCAAATCTGACCTACTTAAGTTGTCGATGGCACCAAATAGGAACTGGTAAAACAACACTATCAACACAAACGATCACTGTTTCCTGAGGAAGTTGGACCAATGTAAATCAAATGCCACAATGAAGAGATCAAATAAAGCTTAGAAACTGCCTCAGCCAGCAAACACTTGGTTTCCTTGCCAAGGGAAGAGAAATGGCAGCCAAGGGAAACACTGGTTTAGAATATGAACTTGTTGGTAAAATCTTACAGAGGAGGATGTTTGAACATTATGATCAGAATCACTCCATGAGACAGCAAGAGGCAGGGAATGGGAACGTTTGGCAAATGTAATGAAGTCTGATTATACTCAGGGCATTTACAATGAAGCTGGGTGTACAATAAAACCAGGAGAAAAATAGATAAGGTCTATAAGGATCATGACAATGGAGCATTTCTTTTGGACTCTGATATCATCGTCCCTGAAGTTCTGTGTGAAGAAGTAAAATTGGTACTGAAGAAAATAAAGTTGGGAAGAACATCTGGACTAGACCAAGGTCTTTGTTATATGTGAGACAAAGTTTTGAGGGTATTGAGGGACTGATTATCAAGATATCTGGTAGATAGATGGATAATAAATATTTTTTGGGAAAATCACAAATCTTGTAACCAAAAAGGCAATAGAGAGCTTGTCAATGACATTGATACATATGCCTAGTTCCCCAGTTTTACAAAATTTTATGAAAATAACGTATCACATATCAAGAATGTGCAGCTATGATGAAGGTAAGAGAAGGCTTTTGTGAATTGTATCTTATATAATTGTATACTTATATAATTCACTTCAAGGTATAGAGAATACAAGATCTCAAT